GACCCAGATAACTGTGACCCAAATTTGTTTGTTGATGTTACTAAAGGTATTCAATATTGGAATGAAGTTAAAGATTCTATTGTTAATGGATTTAACAATGCTATGCATGATGGAGTTGTTTGTAATGAACAAATTAGAGGAGTTAGAATTAACTTAGAAGATGTTAAATTACATGCAGATGCTATCCACAGAGGAGGAGCACAAATGATTCCATGTGCTAGAAGATGTTGTTTCGCATGTGTTTTAACAGGAGCCCCATCACTTCTTGAACCAATGTATCTTGCAGAAATTCAATGCCCAGAATCTGCTATTGGAGGAATTTACACAGTCATGTCAAGAAGAAGAGGAAAGATTATTTCAGAAGAACAAAGACCAGGTACTCCATTATTCAATGTTAGAGCTTATCTTCCAGTCTGTGAATCATTTGGATTTACTGCTGATTTGAGATCACATACTTCAGGACAAGCCTTCCCACAATGTGTCTTTGATCATTGGCAATTACTCAATGGTGATGTTACAGATGCTACATCAAAGGTTGGATCAATTGTTGCTGCTATTAGAAAGAGAAAAGGACTTCCAGAAGGTGTTCCAGGTTTAGATAAATTCTATGATAAGCTTTAAGTGCATTTGCTTTTAAAATATTTTTGTTGTTTGTATTTTTTAAGAAAAGAGTTATGAATAAATTATTGATTTATTCAAATTTTTAAATTATAGTTCAAAATGTTGTTTTAATTCAGCAATTGTTGTAAGGTTAGATACTCCTCAATTATTGGTAGGGCAATAGTTATAAAAAGAGTGTACGATGAGTGTTTGGTAGTGTATTTTCTTGAGTAAGAGGTAGTTTTGTTGTAAACAATGAAACTTGTTATTTGTTAAGTTCTATTAATTATTCAGATTATCTAAATTTATGTTTTTATCCTATCCTTTCATTTGGTAAGGATTTTTATTAGGTGTTCTGTCTTGTTATTATTTTAATATTGTTTTTGTTCAACTCTAATTATACTATCGTTTCTAGTTGTTTTATACCTTTATTCATGGGTTATTCTTTAATTTTGCCATGACACCCTAAATTCTTTTCATATAACACTGCTAAAAAGACACTAAACAAGCCACCATTAAATTTCAATTTATTTGTTTTCTTATTATTCTCAAAAGGTATATAAAATAATCACTATGTCTTTAACGTTAACATTATATTTAATACTATCACACTTAAAAGAAATTACTGACGATCAGGGTATTAAAAGAGAATGGCTATTACTCTTAGTTAC